TCCATGATACATTTAAATGTTATTTAATATTTTCACTTATAACAATTATACAAACATTGTCATTATCAAAAGATAAGCACAATATTGTTATTACTTTATCAATAGATAGTATTTGATACAAAAATCATGTAAAAACAATATTCAAAAATGAAAAAATGAAAAAAAAAATCAGTCATGCACTTAATTAACATATGTCCTTTCGATGTTAGATCGTACGAATGTTGTGTGTTCAATATTATCGTAATTATCGGGTTCAATACCAACCGAAAATGGTGGTAGATCATCAAAGTGTCTGTATTCTTCTTCGTCAACGACATTATCAACACCACGAATACGTCGTTTGCCTTGTAAGACGATGTGCTCTTTTTTCTGGCTCAGGTCTTTGATAAAGAAAACATGTGTGACAACTTTTGCGAGAACGAATGGCTCAGATACATAGCCATTAGTTGTAAGGTCGACACGTGTAAAACCATCTTTATCAACTTGAACACATGTACGGTTATTCACCCACTTACATTTGAACACAAGAATAACAAAGTCATATTAGTTCAACTCCCAAAAAAATTGTATATATAACACCATAATAATAATCTTTGACTATTCTTATCAAAGTATCATGATCCCGTCTGTCGAATTCGGTCGTTGATGCTATCATTGTAACTCCACTATTCTACATTGTACTTTTTTCATCTTGATCTTTGGTGTAAAACGTATAACCGGTAATGTCGTACCCTTGATAAGATTTAACTCTACAATCTGGCCCACGTCCCAACCTTTTCACGGTTTCATCAACATTAGTTTCTACTACCTTCTTTTCCAGCCACCTGGAAAACTCTTTGTTATGATTGTTTATGTACCACATTTGTTCCTTCCACGGGTATTTCGACTTTAACATGTCCATGTGTTCGTCAACGTAAGGAGTAAGACATTTCATGTGTTTTAGGACCACTAAATGTGCAACTTGTAACTCTTCATAAGTTGGCATGGTTATTTTGAAACCGATTCCTCCCTTACCTTCAAGTCGACTTAAATGACGAGTTTTAGGAACACCAACATTTTCGACATCTTTCATATAGCTTATAAAAAAAAATTAATATTATATATAATATATTATAAATTATTATAACTGTAATATATTATTAATAGGATTACCTTGGCAGAACTCAATCACCTCTTCAGAAGTATACCCTTCAACAATACTGCCCTCAGGCCGATTACGGTTTCTTATGTAACCTTTTAGGATACCCATGTATCTTTCAAAAGGGTACATGTACCGTAAGAATACAGGACCACAAGCCTTAATTTCTTGTACGATATAAGATATGCGGTGAACCATTATATCAAAAAATGAGGGTGGAAAGTACATCTCTAGTTCACAAAGTGTAACATAAACATCTTTTCCCATTGATCCAAATCTTCTACATCAATAAACTTTGAGTGAACGTTGTTAAAAAAACAAACAAAGCTTAGTGATAGAATGTCCGACAACATCTTGTAAAATTCCACGAATTGCGATAGGAATCATATGTGTCATCAAAACATGACAATCATGAGACTTCATTCCAAACAATTTACGGTCTTTCATCGACACAAATCTTTTAATGTTTGCAGAATAACTTGATAGGACCTTAATATCATGTAAACATTGACAAAACTTTATTTTTTTTCTTCTTTTGATGTAGTATAACAAGTAGGTGGGAGATAAACACCGTTAGCACTCTGTTCGAGGGAAAGATCTTCATGTATCCCCATCTCGGCCATGTCCTTTCGGACGTTAACCTCTCTAGTTTTATGCTTCATCTCTAATAATAAGCATATCAAGCTCTCACATACATTTTTTTTCTATATGCATAACATCTAGACAATGTCTAACATCCAAATGTCTCCAGTAAGGGAATTAAAAAAAATTGACTTTTTTTTTCCAAAGGGCATTTTTATCAACACAAAATCTTTTTTCCAACACAACATTTATACTTGCAACTCGTGAAAATGCATCAAATCGTTTCCTCGTCGTTTGGATCTCAATACTTCCGTCAAACGCAATAGTTTTCTTCCTAAAACTTTGACTCTTCTGAAGGAATCTTCGATGTCCCATGTATACAGTTTTTTTTGCAATTTGTTAACCATATCAAGCTTGTTTGATCTTCACAAACTGGACAAGCTTTCTTACCCTTTGTTTTGTATCCTGACAAGTTACCGTATACTAGAAAATCACTTATAGTACAAAAAATCATGGCCCGCAATTGAAAGTGTTGTTTCTTACAAGCATCATATACATCTACACCCGAACTCCGAAGAGTTTTTAAGTCATCAATCAAAGGAGACAAATACACATCAATATCGTTACAAGGTTGTCTCGTCCCCTGAACCAACAACGACATCATAATGTATTTCCGTTTCATGCATAACCACGGTGGAAGATTGTAAATGAATAAAAGAACTGGACACGTACTATGACGATTGCTTATGTTCCCTAAAGGATTGATCCCGTCTGAACTAAGCCCAAACCGTATGTTTCTCATCTCTTTTCCAAATTTAGGATATTTCTTATCAATATTTCTCCGCTGAGGTGAATCCGCACCATGTCTTGTTTTTCCGTCAATTACACGTTCTTCTGAATGCCAACAAAGTAACTTTGCTTGTTTTTCGTTTGAAAATAATTTTTTTACTCTTGGTATAATAGGGAGATACCACAACATTTTAGCCGGTGGTCCATTTTTTGTCACACCATCGTCAACTTCATCCGAATCTTTTTTCCATTTATACCTCGATGCACCGCAAAAAACACAATTATGTTTATTCTCGAACTCCTTTCTATACAATATACAATTATTTGGACATGCATATATTCTTTCAACTTCCAATCCCATCGGACACATTAGCTTTTTTGCTTGATATGTAGAAATGGGTAATTCATTATCTTCCGGAAAAATGTCATGCAAAACCTCTAATAGACTTGTGAAACTTTTATCACTCCATCCGTTTTTCGACTTTAAGTTAATCAACCTCAACACCACATATAGTTTCATAAATTTGGAACCGCTATATAACGGTGTTTCTACTTCTTCAAATAGGCGTTGTAACTTTTCTTGTTCAGCATCACCCATATTAGTCTCCATGTCATCAAACATTTCATTGAAATTGTCATTTGGGTCATTTGAATGGTGATCATCATCATCAACATATGAATCATTGTTGTATGTACTATTATTAATATTTAAATTGCTCGACGATGTGCTACAATCAAGAAATGTTTCTCCATGTCTTGACCAACAAGTGTAATTAGGCACAAAACCATACTCTGTTTCTCCAATACAATTAAACGTTTTAAAGTTTTTACAAAGGTTACAAGGACAAGAAATCGATTCATTTCCTTTATTCACACGATTTGCTTCGGCAACCCTAATAAAAGTTCGAACACCCTCTATATAAAGTTCAGGAAAACGTGAAGCTTTGTGCATCCAATAATCACGATTTATCTAAAAATTAAAATAAACAAACAAATAATGTAATATATCGATTTTCAACAAACAGGTTATGTAAATTTTAACATGTTAACAATCTATAAAAATCAATTTAAAAAATAACAATTAAACAATCATTTAATAAATAAACAGGTAGAATAAAATCAAAAGAAGATGAAAATTAAATTTACCTTTAATGAAGATAACTAGACAATTTAATGAGGCTATTTTGAGTTTTTGAGCATTTACATTGCAAAGGGAATCTACACGAAGAAGAAGAACGTTCGCATTTACAAACAGAAACCCTCAAAGGATATACTGATATAGCTAGCTTTTAATTGATGCGTTTTTCAGAATATCGCACCAAAAAATCGAAATTTAATGATGCGGTTTATAAATAAAAGACACCAAAAAATCGTAATTTAATGGTGCGTTTTCAACAAGTAGCATCAAGAAAACGTTTTTAATGCTATCTTTCTTGAACCGCATTAATAAATCTATTGAATGATACTTTTTAGTGTTCTTTTAATGCAGTTTTCGTATTTTTGATGCAGGCATTTAATGAAGTGGTTTTTACATACAACCGCCTCAAATAAACAAATGGATGGAAGTTAACCTTTGATTCTTCTTCTTCGCTCCAATGAATTGTGTTCATCTACAACTCTCAAGTCCAAAACCGTGACTAAGTTTTAAGAATGTCCGCTTCAGATTCAATGAATTAAATCAACTACAATGGGATTTCATAATGAGAACATAATTTTTCAAAGGAAAAAATTAAATTTTTTTATCCTTAAATAAATGTCATAGAATAGGCTTTGTTATAAATTACTTTTTTTAAATATGCTATATTCAACTTTATAGTGTTTAATATATCGTAGAAAAACATAATAAGGTACGTTGAAGAAAAATACATGATAATGTAACAATCGCATAGTGTTGTACACATTTTGATTGCCCTAAGTTTTTTACGGCATCATAAACGAAGGGGTTCATGCTATAACAAAAAATAGCGATCTTGAAAAATGAATACTAAATCAGACCATGGGATCAATAACCCACGTAAACCTGCATCAAGGCTTACATGGAAAGTTAATCCTGGAACACTAGCAATTTTTTTAATATATATGTCAGATTTTAAACATTGGAACTGATATGTAGAATCATACACCTCAATCAATAGGCTCTTATTGGAGGCAAATAACGATATTGAGGAAGAATAGTAACTTGGAAATGCAACCAAAGTGTTTTACTATTATTAAATAAATAAAATATAAAGAATAATTTTAAATTTTTTTTCAAACTTTCAATAACATCAATATATATATCAAATATACATTTCAATATATACTTGGTCAAAGTCATGATCGCATATTTCATTGACTACCTCAAATACTGTTCTAGTCTGGGTTGGATCGAACTAATTCTCAAAAAGGTCTTTCAAATTTGTGTATATATATCATATATCAACCGTATTTCATATTCCGACCTCATAGTTTCCCTTCCCTTACAGCCAAAAACAAAAATTTCCAAAAGAAAATGAACAAGCATTCTGGTCTTTCTGATCTTCTGAAAGCACTACCAAATATCATTTCTCAAAATGCAAAGTTTATGGCCATCACAACCTCCGTTTTCCTAATCCACTACTCCATTCCCTTCATCTTACCCACTTCTAATGCAAAATTCATGGATTTGAGCTTCAAACTTTTCACTTTAGTCTCTGCCCATCCCCATACTACCGAGTACAACGAACTCTTGATTGCTATCCGAGAAGATATCAACATCTTTCTAAGAATCGAAACTTTTAATTCCGTTTTCTACTTTTTTGCTGCCCAAATCACCATAATTGTTATTGCATCAAGCTACTATAGGGGTAGTAACTTGTCTCTCAAAGAATTTATGATCAAGGTATCAAGAAAATGGACTAGACTCTTTTTCACTTCGTTCTATGTAAAACTTCTTCCCCTGGGTTACACGTGTTTCTTCTTCTTGCCACGTTTGATTCCATCACTTGTACTTCTTGACCATCCTGTCTTTCTGATCACCATCCTCCTTTTCCTTGCTTATTTTTTCATTAAATTGAATCTTTATCTATCTGTTGTTTGGAGTCTGTCTGTAGTTGTTTCTGCGTTTAAGGATACTGATGAGCTTTCAGCAGTAGGGAATGCTAGAGAAGTTGTGAGCGCAAGAGGGTAGATGGCTTCTTATAAATTTTTTCTTCATTCATGTATTTTGGAACTAGTGTTACCCAATAACATAATGAATGTAATGGTGAAAAAACATAAAACGACAAGAGTGAAAAAACATAAAATGACAATGAGATTTGATTCTTATTATACAAATTAAATATTCTGCTATATTTTGTTTCTTATCTTCTTAGTAAAATAGCGACAAGTATTATATTTTAATAAAACTAATAATACTTCAAAACACTTGTAATCATTTCACATGACACTAAAATAATTGTCCTCTGTGCCGACGACATCTATTCCAACGAGATATTTAATTTCTCATTTTATTAAGAGGTGTTTATGGAGTGTTTAGTCAGCAACACTATTTATATTTTGTCGTAATATAGTATTAACCAAACCAGTTGGAAAAGAAAAAAAAAAGTTGGAAGTGATGGATTCAAACATCGAAGTCTTTTCAGGGTTTGGGAGATTAAAGGCAATGCCATTCCTCTAATCGCATTTAACTTATATAATATTGTGGAAAAATTTGACCGCGTGGGTTTGATTATTGATCCTACAAGTCAAACGATAGAAAATTCAATTATCCCCACAACACGCAATTCAATCCAAACGAAAGAATAATGATTTAAGTTGATGACCGTTATTCAACCAATACAATGAATAATCAAAGTAATTAAATCAAAGAACTAAAAAGTAATTAAATCGCCCTTGTCTGTTGATGGCAAGTTCTACGTGCATGATCTTAGGTCGTTGATAGATTCCTTCCTAACTGTTGAGATGTATAATGTTATGATCTGGATTCCGTTGGTGACTATAAAAATAAATTGTTTCATTTGGCGGGCTTGCATCGGTAGAATCCCTACTGCTTGTGCTCTCGCTAAGAGAGGTGTTTCTGCCCATAGTAGTGAATGCTTATGGTGTACATGGGAGGCTAAAGATGTGGACCACCTGTTTGTGGGTTGCTCTTAGGCTCGTGATGTTCTACATCAGATTTTGGGTTGGTGTAATATTCCTCACCGAAATTTCGATTCCATCCGGGAGCTTATCGTTTTTGCTTCCAAGTAGGGTAATTGCCCGATGAAACGTAAAGTTCTTTTGACCATTTTCTATGGAGACATGTGTATTTGGAAGGCGCGGAATGATAGACTTTTCCACAAGGTGTGTATCTCTAAGGTGGGTGTGTTTGATAATGTTATTTCTCTTGTCTTTAGTTGGGTTAAACATAGAGGGCGGTTTGTAAACTGTATTTGGTGGAGTGGTGTGTCTCTCCGTCTAACATTATGTTGTGTCTGATGTGTTTGTTTTCTGCCCTGCCTTGTTCTTTTAGGCTGTGGCTTAATAATATCTTGCCGTTTCCAAAAAAAAAAAAAAAAAAAAAAGAAAAGAAGACATAGTAATGTTTTGTGGAAAACTCAAATTAAAACCCCTATCATATCTCTTCAAATAAAAGTATATAAATTTTATTACTTTTCATTTTTTTTATAATTTTTAATATCTTTTCTCATACCCTCTAAAATGACACATGTATTTTTTTTTATGATTTTACATTTAAATTTAATTCTTCTTCTAAGCCTCTTAAAACTAACATTATTAATAAGAATTTTGAAATTGAAAAAAATTGGTAGTCAGTTATGTGATATTTGATAGAGAGAAATAATCAATTATAAATAATCTCTTATTACATTCATTTTGTTTTTAATTTTTAGATTTTTATAAATACCATTTTATAAATTTGTTTAAAATATTTTGTTATAACTATTATCTATATTATCTCAATTTATCAATTGTGTATCATACGGGTTACAACCTAGTAGTTAATATATGCGAGATCTCGATGGCGTCCCAAATATCCAACCTAGACATAATATCGGCCAACAATACCGGTCCTAAATATCGGTTCCGAGAATATCACCGATATGAATAAGATTTGGCTGAGATTTAGGCGAGAAAATCGTTGATATCAGCAACCTTTGAAATTATCCATAAATTTGGACATTTATGACTCAGCTTCAAGTTTGATTATGACCGTCTATTGCAATTATCCATAATTTTGACATTTATGATTTAGAGCATCCACAATACATAGTTCAATGGGAGAGTTGAATGAGGTGAAATGCCTAATTGACATTTAATAGATTAAACTTTACCATTGTGGGATGTCATGTTGGCATTCAATGGATATCGAGTTCAATGGTCATTGAACTCTTCAATGGGAAAAAAGGAAACATTTTTAACTATTAAATATATAATTCATTGAACTCTCTTTTGACTTCAATGCATTATAGGAAAATTAATATAGAATTGAATAGTAACTAAAATGATGATGTGTCAATCCATTAAACTTTAATAACTTTAATGTATTGTGGATGCCCATAGCTTCAAGTTTGACTTTGACAATATGTTGGACTTAAACCGCAAGAGTGAAGTCACGATTCTATCGCATACACGGTCACAACTGCAAAACCAAACGAGTATAATTACCTCTTCTGCAACTTTAATTTTCATTCCTCCACCAACATTGAGTTTTGTATAAACTTAATGCACATGGGAGCTACATTGATAATAGCTGAGTAAATTGGTGTATGAAAAAGCATGTCAGACTATTGATTCCCCTTATTTTGGTAAAAAAAACCAAACCTCTCAAAGTGGCATGCATCGTGTGGAGAGCCATTGTGGGTAGAATCCCAGTCATGAAAGCTCTAAGTCGCGAAAATGGTGGATGAAAAATAATGCCACACCATTGATTCCCCTTATGTTGGTTTGAAACTATACACTCAAAGTGAGATGCTTCGGGTGGAGGGCTATAAATTAACTTTTGGAACTCTTTGGATTTAAATTAAAAGTAAACTCTATAAAATGAAAGTAAAATGATATAAATTTAAAGTGAAATTACAAAACGTTATCTAAACTAGAGAAGAGAAATGAGAACCCTTTTCTAAGTGGGGTACAATACATCATAAGTAGAAATTTATGCAGCAATTGTTGATTCTTGATACCAAACTGCTACTACATCATCTTCCTTGTTGGATACAATCTTTTCAATTCTATCAATAAATTTAAACATTTTCTCCAACCCTTCTTCATCTGAAATACGAGAGATATTAAATAAATATGTATTTTAAAAGTAATAATGTGATATTAAATTATACAAAAATAAATAGTAAAAGGTTTACACACTCTTGGAATGTTATGGCCTTTAGGATGATTATTCACCATGGGATCCTCAATTAGTTTTAAAAGTTCACCTTCTGGAGTGCATCTCCTACCAAAAGTAGGAGACCCAAAATAATTTTCCCTACATTGCACCATTATTATACACCGACATAGTGGGAAGATTTTAAGTGATCATGACACAACCAAAGTCTTATTGATACTTAAAATTGATTTCAAAAGAAAAAACAAAAAAACACACACACAAACACACACAAAATGCTTACCTACTATGTTGTGGAATTTGTGGAGGTAAAAGATGGCAAAGGAGGAAAAGGTGTCGAGGTCACCAGAAGGAGGAAGGATTTCAAGGTTTCAGTTAACTGATTTTAGAAAAAAAAAAATAACACAAAAAAGATTACTTACCTATGATGCTTGGATGTCAACGATGGCAGAGGATGAACAAGTGTCGAGGTCGCCAGAGGGAATACCAGATTGGAAGGATTCTGATGTCGTGGAGTATTCAATGATGATGCAAAAAAGAAATATGCGTGTTTGCACAACGACATGTTTGTGTTTTTTCATTCAAGGCTCAAGAGGAAAAAAGAAAGATGCACTTTTTTGTGGATCAGCAACAAATAAATTGCGGACCTAGTAACATCATTGGTCAGCAATAAAGGACCGAGTAAGCTAAGTTCCAACACAACCAAACAACCTGACCGGACCGAGTCAGCCAAAATTTGCTAACCGGAACCAGTCGGCTCGTTATCAAACATCCCCTTAGACTGTTAAAGTCCGTTAAAAATTCATAACTGTCTCATATGGTATCCGTTCTCGACTATCTTTATATCGACGGATAGCTGTCCACAAGATCTTCAACTCTCGTTTAGATTGTTCTTCCTAACAATCGACTGATTTCAATTCCAGTTTCTAAGCCTTATACTTCTACGCTGAAATATTAGAAAATTCATAATTTCTTATTATGAAGTCAGATTTGAGCATTCTCTATATGTATGGAATCCTTGTCACATATACTATTACTTTGGTTAAGATTATTTATCCTAAATTATCTTCTATTAAAAATTCATTTTCGACGCTTACTGTATCTTAATTGACTAGCCCGAATCGGCGAGTGTTACATTTCTTCCCTTATGTTAGCGACTATGTCCTCCGAGCTCCAAAAGGGCTTTAAGAATCATGGGGCGTATGATATAAACAACTAACTCAAGGTAATGTTCCAAGAGGATGTCTAGAAAGAACAATTCGAGATCATAAAGTCCCTCTTGGCATGTAAACTACAAAAAGGAGGATCTATGTGTACACATGTTCAGAAAATGAAATCATACATAGACATATTAAAAAAAACCTTGGTGTCTAGTTTCCAAAGGATTTGGCCATTGATGTCATGTTGAACTTGCTTTCTAGTTTATCTCAACATTTCATCATGAACTATAATATCAACAACATGAAAAAGTGTTGGGTTTTTATTCAAAAACTAGTTTCAAAAACATAATATTTAGCAAGGGAAGACTTGCTGATTTGAATAACATAAAACAAGTTTATAGCCCACCAATGATCATGTTGCAAAGTTTGGAAGCAAAACACCAACCAAAGAAGAAGATGGAGAAAATTACAACCTTTGTAGTTGTTTGGGTCCTTTTTGGAGGCTTGGAAGTTGATGAAGAATGATAAATTTGAGAGACAGTAACGATAATTCAACTTGATGTAGACTGCTAGTTCTTTTGTATAAATCTCTTAATCTATTAAGCTTAAAGTTCATAACCAAAGTATGAGCTCTAATAGGCATAAGAATTCAAGTAAACTCCAAAAGCATGAACAAAAGTGGACCTTAAC